TACATATGTTGTGGGGGTTATAGCCAGCTAGCTCCAGGCTGGTCCTGGGGACTGCCTGCCATGCACTGCGCCTTAGGGACAGGGCTGGAGGATCCCTCTAGTTCGGTTTTGTCAGGAGGGAACTCAGAATGCATGCTCCAAGGCTGCTCTGTAATGGGAAGCAGAACACGCTGGTTGTGTGTGAGGCAGCAAACATGACATTTGCTTCAAAACCAGCCTCCTGATTTGCACTAAAATGCACAGTGGAAGCACTCAGAACACCACAGTTGGCTCACTCTAGGACAAAACCAGCTAGATACAGCAGAAATCTGATTGCAACACTCATCGCCTAGAAGATCCAATGACAATGAGGGGTGTCTAAAACAGCCTTTCGGTACAATGAGCTGTGATAGCTGTCAAAACAGAACGTAATAATGGTTTTCCATATGCTTGGGAGCTTCTGCAATTTGCTAACAGGAAAAAATCAAGCACTTGGTTTGCTATTTTGGAATGACGGCTACATTCAAATAGCACACTAGGAGTTCGCTGGGCTGCTTCAGTTGGTACTTGCATACCTGTATGTTCACTGCTCCTTGATTTCACTGGCATTGCACTGAAGGGAATTCCTGGTGCCTCAGCTGTGATACAAAGAGCAGATTCGTTTCATGCTGGGATCTGAGCTGGCCACAGGACGTGCTTCTTCACAGGAGATGAAAGTTTGCATGTTACAAGAGAAGATGTGGCCACACCATATTACTTGTGAGGAGTAGCTTGAGAGAAAGGAAGAAGCTAGAAATGCCAACATGCAGAAGACAGCCATCATAAATAGGCCAAGTATCTGTTGCTATTTTTACTACAGGAGCTGCTCCCACCACCACCACCCCATTTGTTTGTGTAGTTGAGAGGATGCAGAGTCCCTAGGTCTCCTCAACCAAGTCACAACACATCCGAAGACTGAAAATGCCTGTCCGGAGAGCTGAGATACTGTGATCCATCCGTGTAAGAGGCAAAGAAAACAAACAACAGAAATACAGAAGATACATTAAATGGAACAATACAGACATTGAAAACTCTGACACTTAACTAAGGAGAAAGAAGCATCTCCTCACTGCTACCTGTGAGCTTTACTCGGTTCTCCAATTCTTACCGTGCAGGAGGTGGGGATCTGCTATGCTCTGCTACCACCCCTCGTGGTGTAGGAGCCCTTGTCTCTTCACTCATTCCTTGCCTGAAAGCTGCTCCTGCCCATTATTAGGAACAGTAACTATGCTTTTTCTTCTTTTGAGGTTCTTGGACACAGTCATCAGGCTTGTGGCAGACTTTGGCAGCTCTACAGGGAGAAAGCTCCAAGATAGAAGATGAGCCTCCCTCTTGTTCTGTTAAATCACAGTCAAGTGATTAAAAATCACTGTTTCTTTTCTCCCCACAACCTCATGGCAAAATGCTAGCCAGGCACCAAATCCTCACCTAGATGAGAAGATCTGGCTTTTATCAGTTTTAAAAGGAGTGATTTAAGGTGGCACACACACCACAATGTTATTCCCCTTGCAAGTGCACTCTCAGAGTGCAGAGCAAAGGTGGGTGTGCACGAATTACATGTCCCTTGCAGACATTGCCAATAAGCTGCCTTATTACCATAATGTTTCCCTCTACAACCCTAAAACAACAGGCTTCCTGAATAGCACAGCTTGAAATCACTGATGGGCTGAAATCTTTAACACATCCGTCAGATCCTTGTTAAGGGCTGAGGAACTGCCTTCAAGCCTTCCTTCTGATCAAGCCAAGGGAGCCACTTGGCGGTGTCGGGACATTTGGTAGCCAGCAAGGAAAGGGATAAAGCAGGCACTTCCAACCCTGATTCCAGAGCAAGCCTCGAGTGCTTGTGCCTGCATCAGCGCAATGATTAAATCAAGCGCACAACTCCAGGCAGGCAATGATTCTGCCACCAGGTGTCACCAAGAGGCTATTATGCCTGCTGAGACTGAAGCTATCCTCCGGCTCTCCTGCAGGCACAGCAGCAATGGATGCAGCACTGTTATCACGCCTACGCTCACGTGGGGTCGTTCCTTTCTACTACTACGAGCTGAAAATGAGCTTAAAAAGGAGGATTCCTTGCAATCGACTGGCATCACTGCGCGTTCCAGGTTTACTTACGTGGCATACAGGCTAATTAACCTTTACAGTGAGAAGCTTCACATCAGTCACAAACTGAAACTCAGAATGTCCGATTAAGGATTTTGCCTTGAGGATAAGGATATAAAGGATATTAAGGATGTTTGTCTTGAGCCTTGATTAAATATTAATAGAGGAAAACCGGTGAAAACTGTTTAATAATAGTTTTATTTAATTTGTTTTCATCTACTAAATGCAACTCCAATGGCCAAAAATAAACCAAGTAGAATTTATTTCAACTCTGAGCAGTAACATCTAGAGGGAGTGATGAAATCACTTCTATAAAGATTTCAAGTTTTCTCTGGCTGCACTCCATTTAAACAAGTCCTAACTATTCCCTTAAAGCCACGGCTAAGCTAAAAGTACCTTCTCAAATCTACCCTGCAGTTGCTGTTTTTCTATTCTTCAACTAAATCAATCCTGAATGTGACAATGATTTGAAAGCCATTCAATTCTGAATTCTGAACTCCCAACTAAGGATACTTATTATAAACAATAACCAGAACACCAGAAAGAATATCTGTGATATCCTTTGGAGCATTATTGCAGCTACAACCTCGCAACTCTCACATGGCACAAACCAAACATGCTTCTACATACACAAAACGTCAAGGAGCAGAAGCACCGCTGCTTCTCTGCCTCCCCTGCAACCTGACTGTAAAGAGGTCAACGGGTGCTCACTGGTGGGGCAGCAGCTTTCAAAACCCAGTTCTGCCTCCTTGCAAGGTGGACAGCCTGAACAACCATTATAGAACCAGAATCCTTTTTTCCAAGTGGAAATAAAATGCATTTAGAAGAGATGAGTATGTTTGTGAAAGAGGGAATGCAGACCTGTGAGAAAAAGGGGAAGATGTATCATGGGATAAAGAGTTATATCAGATAACAACTGCAAAACCAGTTACTCAGCATCAGCTGGCTGTCAGCACCTAGCAAAGATTCAGGTGGTGAGAGCCTAAAGAGCAGATAGTGAACTGTTTCCTTCATTTTGCAGCAGCAGCCTGGGATAACTGCTGCTCATGAGCAGCCATCAACTGCCAATACAAGCTGCTCTTTGGTAACTACATTTAAAGTAACCCATAAGCACACATCAAAATTAGCTGCTGCGAAAATCAGTTACCATTCATTGGTACCATTACCATTACCTAATGAGCACAGACCATGTGCACAGATTCTTAACAGCCTGATCAGCTATGCAAGAGCAGCAACTGCACCAACAGGTCATCAGGACATCATACAGCTCCTACTCCACCCCGCAATGGAACAGGGACTTACACAGAGGTCTTAGAATGCTGTGACAATGCAATATTTTCTTGCATATTTTGTGTGGAAGAACTGAAGGAGTAAGGACAAGTCCATGAGGTACCAAGCCACGCGATTTACCACAATACCCCCTGTATTCATCATTTTGAAGTTATCAAGCGTAAGCATCTGGAATGTAAGGATTAATGAGGACCGCTATTTGATCACTTGCTTCATCTCACAGAAACTCAAGTTATCACCAAAAACCAACCCCAATTCTCATCTCTGTTCCTTAAGCTCTTGTGTGGCCAGCTGCCTTGGATAGCTGCTCAGCCTGAAGGGTTTCTGACAGTCAGCTAGGTTTCACTCAATCAGCCCCCATTCTCCCCTTGTTCAGTTATCACAAGCATTAATGTTGACACAAGGAAGCAAGACCTGTGCCTGCACGGAGGAAGGAGAGCATGGGCACCACATCAGCTTAAAGCAGTGATGAACACTATACCCTTAGTCATGTTCATATTTTAACACCCTGACTAAAGCAACAGCTATGCTGCCAAAGTACAGTTCTGCCAAAGTACTCAGTTGAATTACAGACTGTCATACTCAAGAAGTGTTGAAAAGGTACCCACTTATGCCTTCAGGCAGGGTTTTGTCCTCACCTGAAGAGGAAAGCAATTCTCAACATACGAGGAAACTGCTTCTTCCACATTTTAACTTTGGGTTGGTTTTTCTTTATTATACATCAGGAACTGAAGAAGCCACAACTCAGCTGTTGATTGTCAAAGAACATCCCAACAGGGTATTTGAACTTCGGCTTAGAAAAGAAGTAATTTTAGATATTCTTAAAGAGAACCCATGATTCAGACTGACCAAAACCATCAGTTTTGTAAATATCTGAATCTTCCTGTTTCACTTCACCCACCTGTACTTTTACTACCTCTCCTCTTTGATAAACATGGGAACAGTTCATTTGGGTTTGACAGGTTACAGGGAATGCTTCCATTCTCACAACCTGTATTGATGAAGCTATGAAACAGAACCCACAGACAATTCAAGCAAGCCGTGGAACAAGAAGTTTCATCTCGTTTTATCTCTAATCCCTTACAAATAAAAAAGTAAAAAATGAAAGTTCTACAATGGCAACAATTTCAGTTATTAACTAGTAATTGGATTATTGATATGGCCTGTCATTGTAACAGCCCAGTGTTAACAAACTGACCTCTAGTCAGTGTAATAAAGCTTCTCTGAGCAAATAAAATTCTTATTTTGAGAAAATATATAAAAAAATCACAGTTATTATATTAAAATCTCTGTTGGAAACATATACAAAATAATTATCAACACATTTTGTTCATACAGTGCTGCTCTAAATCATGAAATCAATTACTTCACCTAAGCAAATCAGTGCTAGAAATGGATGCAAGGACAACCCTCTCAAGTCTGTCTGCTCCGGGTCAGACAGAATAACAGAGTTGGTCTGTATTCATTACAAAGTTGGAGCCATAAGGTAAAATGAAAGGAAGCTATGAATGCACAGAAAAAAACCCACCAACTTTCCTTGCAGTACTTCTAGTTTTCTGTGACAGAACCACATTTAGAACATAAATGGCAGCAATCTCCATTCACATTATTTTATCAGTTCTCAAAAAAAAACCCTAAAGGGCACATGGATTCCTTGGGACTCAGATGTCCATTTAGACACCAAACAATTCCAATTTCAAAAAGCCAGACACAATGACTTCTTGTTACAATTCAGGTAAGAGTTTTAACTGGTGACCTGAAAAGAAGCAACCTAAAGCTTGTGAACCTCAAGTCATCCCGCTCATTACATACTGCTGCCAACCCATATTTAAATGTAACTATGTTTTGTAATCAAGGATAATCAAACTCTGTTCCTAACTACAGTACAAAATTTAAAGTAACACTCTGCAGTATCTGTTAGCTCGTGGAGAGGTGCCCAAAAGCATCACCTGTATACATACTTCAGACTGTATCTCTTGTTTGTCATCCAGCAATCTGGACTCAAAAAAGAGACAGCATCACATGGCTGTAACCACTCCTCCCTCGCCCAGTCACTCAGTTGAGGCAAAACTGCTCAGAATTTCTGAGGCTCAAACACAATCAGTTCTTTCCCATCATATAACTCTTGCAGTTGGTTTGACTCGTACTGTATGGAGGGTTTTTCAACTGGCATCCCAGGCTCCAGAGCATTCTGTCCAACTATTTTAAGACTCGTAACTTTTATTTTCCAGGTATTCTCCCTAATGGGACAGCTAATGAGTCCAAAAACTTGTTCAAAGATACCCAAACACGAGTTGCCTCTATGTACTGTGCCAGCCACTGCCACCACCACTAACCCGTGCGGAGACATGGCACATTTCAGTCCGTTGGCATGCAAATTCGGGTTGAACAGAAGATATTCTTCTTTAACCAAGGACAGCAGACGAAGGCTCACCATTTCTGCACCAACATATTCTTCCATGTTTTTTTCTAAAGTGTTATAGGAGAACTTCATTTTGGCATCATCCCAAAAATGCTGTGGTCCCCACGCTTCTTTAGATTTTACTCCCAAGGGATGTTGAGAATTCAGGAGTTCAAAGAACCACTGACAGAATTCTTCTCCTAGATTACGAATACCATCTTGCGGTGACTTTTGGCTGTCTTCATGACTCTGCAATCAAGCACAGGTTTGTTTCTTAGAACTATTTAGCTTTAACATGGGAGATTACTACTTACAACAGCAAGATCATGTAAATACTTATTTTTACATTAAGACTTCAAGTGTTCTGAGACAGAGAGCCTAAAGAAAAACAACAAAGCAAAACCTTACTTTTAAGATCATAACTATCTTGTCTAGACAATCAGGGTAGGTGCTTTGATTTATAGTTAGCATAGTCCTTCGCTTTGTCTTGGTCTACAATTCACAAAGGGGAAAATCCTGCTTCTACTGTAAAAAGGCAGAGGAAGGATTTTTGAACAACTTGTGTGACACCAGGATTCTCACACTGAGAGACAAAATTGCTGCTGAGTAGAAAGTGCCTGGGTTAGTAACTTTTCACTGGCTTTTATGTTTCCAAAGGAAGACGACAGAAAAAACAAGAAGGATACAGACCCAACCTGAAAGGCTCATCTCGTATTTAGGCATGTCTACTAAAACATGCTTATAAATAAGTCATTATGTCGTCATATTTTTCCTGTTCCATGTTGCCTTAAATATCTTCTTTTTGGTACCTTTTAATTTGGTAAATTCTATTGGTTTTGGCACCTTCATATAGCTGATAAATACCATAGTACTGACTGGGAAGTTCCCTTTTGAATATGCACATCCAAATAGCTGAAGCTGACCTAATACTTCTGATGTATAGGAGTATTTTACCTATGTCAGTGGAACACACTAACAAAATGCACGATTAATCCAGAAAGGACTGAAAGTCAACAAATTAATGTACTCTAGAATTTTTTCTCCATCAGATTATGTGCATGAATTTAACCTTGTTTGCCAGCAAGACTGCCAAAAATCATATAGAAGATGCTTGGTCACATTCACCAAGATGGGCCAGTGGAAAAATAAGCATGACTACTCAAAACATATCTTCCACTAGCTCCCCATAGGTCATGGACAAGCCACTTGTGCCCTTTTTTCCCTTGTTTTACACAAAATGACACACACACACTCCTAATAAATATCTAAGGTGCAGGGGGATAATAAATACTTCAGAATAATATTTAATAGTGGGTTGCTGAGACAGACAACAGAGTGGTGGGTTTAAGTTTTGAAGCCAAATTCACAGTAAAAGGAAATATCGGTGCGCAATCGATCATGCAGTTAAAACTCATCAGAAGAGGGTGACAAGCCACTTCAAGTGTTGTATCACTAGATATGCACTCCAATAAAGTACACAGTAATTTTTTGGACACTATTACAGGTCAAGCTGAAAAAAGAAAATCCCTAAAACTATTCCCTGCAGTTGAATTCTTGGTGTGTCTATAACTGTGTGTAAAAGAATAGCAAAAGTTAAGCACAAATAGTTAGGAAACAAAATGGCTTAGCAATTAAGATATTGAAGACAGGTTTTTAAGTTGATTATAAAAGCATCTGGTTTAGAGAACACTTCTTTCTAAAGGAAACATCCCTGCAAAAGGCAAAAATTGGATGCTCAAGTAACAGTCCTGTGAGCCTATGTAATGTGTACATATGTAGTTTGTTTATTCTCTGCTTTCTCCTACAATAGCTAAGGCTTTGTCTTAAGAAAAATAACCCACACTTTCCAATGTAAAGACACAGCACTTGAGGTGACACGGTTTGCTGAACAAGAACTAAATGTATAGTTACTTTGTCAGGTTTCTCAGTATTTGCAACTTGGCAGCAAGACTATTAGAAGTAAATCAAATTTTAAGTTTGCTAATATTGAAGTCTAGGAAGTACTGAAATAAATATGCTTAAAGTAAGAATGAAATAAGTATGGGAAGCTGGAGACTTTTATAAGGAAATGCTGTATTTGTTTCATAACAAACTGTAATTCATTTCCAATTCTGTTACACAGGTTCATGATACCTATTTCTTCAAAATGGTGAGGGCTACAAGAATTAAGAGAAAGAAAAGGCAAAGAAAGAGCTTTGTGATAAATAAACCAGCTGAATTTCTCATTCTCTGTGAATGTGTTCTAAGTATTTAGAATTTATTTTACTCACCTTCAATCATAAAACTATGCTACTACATAATGGCAACAGTAATACAGTAATACTTGGGAAGTGCTCTTGCAAGAACAGCATTTTATTTACAAAGCATGCAAACAAAAAGTTGTTTTGAAAACAATTCTCAGCTACATCGTAATTCTCGACAGGTAATCCCAGAGAGAAAGCTCATTGGAGGTGGTTATCAACAGCTACAGAGCTCTAACAGTCCAGCTGGTGGGGCTGTTGCCCATTAGGTCGCTAAAGTGTAACACTTGAAAGGTGCTTATTTAGAACTACATGGTGAAGATCCAAGCCAAATAAAACACTGGAAGTTAATTACACCATAAGGATTTGCTAAATATCATAATTTTGAACTTCCAAATAACTTATAGTTGCCAAAAAAAATAAGAGTTGCGCTGTATTAAGTGCCTCTAATATCAAGGGGAAAAAAAACACATGGACCTGGCACTGCTACAAACCACATTTCAAAGACATAAAAATTTGCTAAAATCGATTCTGCACTCTAACCACATGAGGTAAGAAGGAAAACAGCTTGCAGACAGTGCTACTTTGACTGCGCTGTCTCTAGGAGTAGGTCAAGGCCACCTACAAAAAGACAGTTTTTTCCCCATTCCTTCCACCCCGCAACATTTTAGTCCATAGTTTGTCAGATGGTTTTGCCCTGTGATCTATCATCAACAACAGCTCTTTGCTCTGCTCTGGGAAGTGCCCTACCAATGGTAATGCTAGAGCCTGGCTCAGTTGGAAGATGACTGGAAACCCTGGATCTATACAAAAAGTTTAAGATGATCAACCACGTTAAAACAATGGTAAGGGGCTATGCAGGCTTCTGTATCTTCAGCACTGTTTTCAGTTGTCCTTGAATCCACAGAATTATTTGTGAATACCCTATATTTTTGCTTATAGTACAACTTAAATATTAAAAGCATGGAGAAACCCCCACACATTAGAATTCAAAGGTACAAATATACTTTGCAAGACAAAGAAGACTCTGCAAGTGATGCCTTGGCACAGACACCATTAAAAAATGTAATTAAAACAAGAATACAACCCAAACCAAATAAACTAAGAGTAAAGAGATTTGGTACCTTCCTAAAGCCAGGTGAAGAGCCACATTTTGGACATACATTAGAGCACTTACAGTGGTTATGCTGCAAAAGCAATGCGAAGCATCCTCAGGTCCTTCAGAAAGCAGCACTCACCTCTGCTTGTGTTTTTCTCTCCCCTGATGCTGAGGCATGTGTTGCTAACTGCCCGCTCCAGTACTGCTTTACGCGGTCGATGAGGACGTGTTTCTCACAGGAAGGAGACACTGCAATTCTTTGTGTTGCCAGGTACTTAAAGATTATTTCTCGATAGACTTTTTTGCGTTTCAAGAGCTCTTCTACACTTTGGCTGTAAAGCACAATGGCCTGAATGGCTTCTGCAAGAAAAGAAATCTAAGTTAGCTGCGGCTTCTCTCGCAGTTAAAACACAACTGTGCCATTTCTTAAACCCCTGTCCACCTCCAAACCCAGCACAAGCCAAGCCTAAAGGAAATGCAGATTGAAAAAGTCTGTTTGCAAACTGAAATCTGACTTGATACTAGACACAGACAACACCCAAAGACTTGGGAACATGCTTGAAAAACGGTGCTGTTTTTAGTGAAGGCTTTGCTATTTTATAATCCCTACTGCCAGCATCGATGACTGCTTGGAATTGATTATGTATTATTGGAACTTGATGAAAAGCATGCAAACTTTTCTTCCAAATGAAATAATATTCTCCAAGCATTTTCAAGCTGTTTGGAAACTTCAAGTGCTTCTAGAAGGATAAAGGTTCTTACACACAATGCATTCCACCTGTAGCTCCCCAAGATACACCTAGCCTTAACTGCAAAATGAGTTAATTTAACACCATCGTTTAGGGCTGCTGTTTGTCACCATACAGCACTTCCACTCATCAAATGCTGAGCTTGGTTTCACCCTCCATTTGAAAAGCTCTAGGATATTTCAAAAGAGACCATCTGCCTGTCTTCTTGGAAGCAAGATTACACGGAGAAAGAAGAACCAGACAAATTTTTTTATGGGTCTTCTGGCTATGGAATATGTATCTTGATTTCTACATCAAATGGGCAGTACACATGATCCGGTCACTGAACACATTGTTATGTTTAAGATTAACCTTCAAATAAGCTTATGAAGAATAAACTTCCTTGGCAAGCTACCAAATGTTTCCTGCAAACAGAAAATGGACAGAAACGCAGGCAGAGTGGTAACCAAAGTAACCTTTGATTCCTTGTATGCTGAACAAGAGGTCTAGTGCCAGAAGGCTGTAGCTTTTCAACCACCACACAGTGATCTGGGAAAGTGAGGTTCCATTTAGGTTGCTGAAGGCTGATGGAAATGGAACTAAGCCTGGTTTATTTCAGAACTAAAAACGAGAGGTATAAAGCCTGTATGGCCAGTCTTGGAGGTCTGAGTTGTGCCACATGAAACACAGCCAAGGGTTCTGGAGGGGTCTATTTCAGGGCACCTCAGGTAACTTACAAAAGCTTTACAAAACAAATCTCACCATCTACGAAGTATGGGGGTATTGGTCATACCTGAAAGTGCTCCGTTCTACAGAGAAGTAACCTCAATATCAGGTTTGTGTTTGACCCTTTCAAACCCTGAAAGCAAACGCCATTAATGCCAACAGCAAGAAGGCAACGGGGGTTTTTGAACAGCAGCAGGGCACAGCTGGGGCACAGCAGTGCTCGAAGCTCACCCAAGGGGGCAGGGGAGAGGATGCCTAAGAGGCAAAACCAAGTGCTTGAAAGCTGAAAGCCCGCTACAAGCACCAGCAGCCGCCAGCTCCTCGGCCACAACAACCTCCCAGCAGCCGAATGTGCCCCGGCCGCTGCAGGCAAACGCTCCCAACAGCTACAACCCAACCAAACGCAGGTGCGCACGGGGACGGGACGGGACGGGGCGGTGGGAACACCCCCCGGCAGCTACAACACACCAGCCCCCGGCAGCAGAGGCGCTGCGGCGGCTGGTCCGGCAAGGCCGCGGCAGGAGGCAGCGCTGGGCCGCGCGCACCTTGCCGGTTCTCCGGGTGCACCAGGCGGTTGGTGACGGTGTCGGTCAGCGCCAGCAGCTCCTCGGTCTCCAGCAGCTCCAGGAGCTGGCGGCACCCGGCCTGCTCCCGCTCGCTCAGCCCCAGCGACGCCATCGCCAGGCCCGGCCCAGCGGAACCGGGAAGCGGCGCTGCCGCATCCCCACGTGAAGCCCTAGCAACGGCAGCTTCCTGTGCGCCCCCGGGACACAACGGCCGAGTGCGCCGGGTGGAAACAGCGGCCGGCGCTAAGGTTCCGCCCGGGAGCCGGCGCCGGCGAGTAGGGAGACCTCTACCGGGGTGCGTACCCCGGTCCCGGGCAGCCCATGGCTGTCAGCGGAGAGTAAGGACCAGGCAGGGAAGGCTCGGTAGCCCGCAGGTGGAGGAAAGCCACAGGGAAGGTCTGGAAGGCCAACAGTATCGTGGGGTGCATGGGGAGGAGTGCGGCCCGCAGGACCAGGGAGGTGATCCCCCCCCGGCTACTGACTGTGGTGAGGCGACGTCTGGAGCGCTGTGTCCGGTTCTGGGCTCCCCGGTCCAAGAGCAGCTACAGGAGAGTGTCCAGCGGAGGCCACGAGGATGATCAGGGGTCTGGAGCATCTCCCCTATGGGGAGAGATTGATGGAGCTGGGCTTGTTTTAGTCTGGAGAAGAGGAGAATGAGAGAGGATCTCGTTAATGCACATAAATAGCTCAAAAGCGGGTGCCATCAGGATGGTGCCAGGCTCCTTTCAGTGCTGCCCAGTGACAGGACAAGGAGCAATCTCCATGCACTAAACCACCAGAAGTTTCATCTTAACATGAGGAGGAACTTCTTTACGGTGAGGGTGGCAGAGCCCTGCCTGGCACAGGCTGCCAATCCCCCCTGCGCCTTCCCCTAGCCCCATCCAACTTGGCCTTGAACACTGCCAGGGATAGGGCAGCCACGGCTTCTTTGTGCAACCTGTTCCAGTGCCTCCCCACCCTCACAGTAAAGAACTTCTTCCTAGTATCTAATCTAAATAGATAAAATTATAGTATTAAAGTATCTGACGTGACTAGAACTAGTTATCACAGAAAAAATCATGTTTCAAAGAAGAGAGCAGAAGCCTCAGTTGAGCTAAGAACCATAAGCCATGTGAGGGCTGGTGCTGAGAAAAATACAGGTGCCACTAAGGCTTGACCTTGCTGTGGCAGCAAAAGCAGACACTCGTCAAACCCATGCTTTAATATGGGTAGCATAAGGAGGCCACCTTTTGGTGTTAAAGCTGCCTGTGGTTTCAAAAATAGGAAGACCTAGATTCTTCAAGGACACACAGGCTGTCAAAGACAGGAGTTAAAATTACTGGTGATGCTTTTGCACAAACAACTGAGGACTTCTTTATGGTAGGCTCTGTTCGGATCCGTAATAACAAATGCCTGCACTCAAGATCTTGTAAACCTAAGATAGAACATGTACATGAGCAGAGAACACATTCCTACCCCCTCCTACTATGCATGTATTTTAGATGATTGTTTCCTCTTTGAGACCTAAAACACTGTCCATGCAGATCTCCAAGCTTGTCCAACACTCACTCAGCTACAGCAATAGCTGTTCTCTTGAGCTATAGGAATGGATTCAACATATACCAGAAACAGCTGAAACTATTTTGCCCATGAATTTCAAGTCCAACTTTAAGATAAAAAATTCAGTCTTAAAGCATCTGGAAAGACTCAACACAATAATGCTTGCAGTCTGCTGTGCCAGATTTCCCCTCATGTCTATCCTGATGTAATACTCTTTATGCAGTTAGAGCAACATAAAACAGCTTCTGTTGACAAGAGCAGCCTCATGTATAAAACAAGTGGCCTTGCCATAGAGCTATTACACATTCTTTAAGACCAGCTACTTGCACGCTCTTCATGTAGCAGAAAGACCTCCCACTGCTATATGCAGTGCAGTATTCTGCATGTCTGTATCAGAGTACAAAGCCAAACTGGTTCATCACAAACAGAACTACCTACAAGCCACCAAGTTAATTTTGCTGCTGAAATGCTGACTTTAAAATGAATCCTTATGAGCTTGAAGTTAGGAAATGCTTCTGAGAAGAGCAAATGACCTCTCCTTCATTTTGCTTAAGTTTCAATAAGCTTGCTTAGATTTGCTGCCTTCAGGGGTATAATATCTAACTGAATATTCTAATATTCAAGGGGAAACAAATCAAATGCCATTAAAAACATCCAATTATTTTGAGATGCTTACTGTGGTTTTCATTATTTTCAGGGGGCGAAAGGGAAGCAGGTTGCCTTGGAATGGTCACATTCCCACTAAGCCTGAGAGAAGAAAAGCACGTTGGCAAGGTTCTGGTAGTGGAGGAGCTATAAGGTTGACTTCTGTGAGAAGCTGCCAGAAGCTTCCCCTGTGCCCAGCAGAGCCAACTCCAGCCAGCTCCAGGATGGTAGCACCTCTGGAATAACATACTGAAGAAGGGAATAAAGTTATTTTTTATATACATCATATATTCTTCATATATCTATTTTACAGGAGCATATATATATTATATATAACAGGAGTTATATATTTTACAGGAGCAATTGCAGCCGGAAAGGAGTGTGAATATGTGAGAGAAACAGCTCTGCAGACACAAGTAAAGAAAGAGGAGATGCTCCAAGCACTAGTGCAGAGATTCCCCTGCAGCCCATGGAGGAGCAGATCTTCACCTGCAGCCTATGGAGGACCCTATGCCATAGCAGGAAAGGAGGCTATGGCTCTGTGGGAAGCAAGTGCTGCAGCAGGCTCCTTGGCAGGACCTGTGCACCCATGAAGAGAGGAGCCTAAGTCTGGAGTAGGTTTGCTGGTAGGACTGGTGACCCCACAGGGAACCCACATTGGAGCAGTCTGTTCCATGGGACCCATGCTGAAGCAGTTTGTGAAGAACTGTAGACTATGGGAAGGATTCACACTAGAGAAGTTCATGGAGGACTGTGTTCTGTGGAAGGGGTCCATGCTGGAGCAGGGGAGTGTGAGGGGTCCCCCTCTAAGGAGGAAGGAGCAGCAGAGACAATGTGCTTGTACATACACTGCCACTTTGATAACCATTTTGCCTGCAACATGCATATACCATAGTACCAGGGATCTGAGAATCCTTACCCTTATGGCCAAACTTAACTTGCTTCAGCCAGGGCCTTGTCAAAATCACACAAACTAAAAAATAAAGGTAAGATTGAAGTTACACCAACACCAAAAATAACCATTCAGATTTGGGCAGAAAACAGTTTAAAAACTGCTGTCAAAGAACACCATGGATTTAGAGACTGTAAGCAATAAAAACTAAATAATCCAGCATTTTGGTAACAGTATTGAACCTTTGGAAGCCAGCTAAAAAGCAATTGCACTGTCTTTATCTCTGGACTACAAGCATTCAATCAAGGAAACTAAACAAAGCAACAGAGAACAACTGTATCACACCAGAGGTTGCTATCTCTAGTAGCAGCAGCATCAGAATCAACATTAAGCTCATCAAGTGCAAAAACAGCAGCTCAGCTCTCTGTACTAGTGCCAGCACATCTTCCTTAAGAGATTCAGGACGTATTTGGTACTTGTAACACAAGCCCACTGAGGAACTTCAACTCTTTTATGATGGAGAAAGAAGACAACCACCTAGAAACAGCGGTACCTTAAAACTGCTGCATCAAGACTCATCTATAGCCCTAAATTGGGCTTTTGGGCCCTCCAAACAACAGTTCAGGAGTGGCTAACAGCCCTGCATTTTGAAGCCATTGCTCCCAGGGATAAACACCACCCAAGTCATTAAAAGGGACATGGCTCTGCTGATTTTCTTTAAGTAGCACATACATATTTCCTTGCAAGATTTATTCCTTTCAACCCCTATTACCTTCACCCCTGCCCTGCCAGCCTTATGCTCCTCCCCATATACATGTTACAAAACAGTGGATGCCCACTTTCTCACCAGGTCTATCTTCTCGGGCCTGTCCTGCTCTGAGATCCCAGGTGAGCAGATTTCCATTTCCCACTGCAGTCCGGCTGATTCCCTTTATTGGGAGAGCACATCATCCAAATGATAACTCTATGCGTGTTAACCAGAGGTAAATACACTAATGACAAAGTCTGTATAAGTGCATGTGACTATTTAATCCATCTTAAATTGCCAGTGTTTTGAAGATGCTCAGAAGCAGGCTTGAGGGCTGGACTGCATGGTGTCTAAGGTTCAGATCCGATGGAAGCTTTTATCCACAGGTGTGCTCTTCATGCATCTCAGACCAAAGACCGAAAGAGCTATCCCCTCTCCCTCATGCACAGGCATGCTTCTCTCTTCAGCACTTATCTGTAACAATGCCTTTTTGAGGACTTCCTGAACTAAGAGGTCCCAAATTTATGAGAGCAAGTAGTTAATTAGCTAGAGGAAACAAAAAGGGAAGCAAGGCAGGGAAAGCGAGACAGGAAATCAAAGAGTTCTGGTTCAATTTCCTTGGCATTCCTGGATCCACTGCACTAGATTTAGTCTATTCAGATCCAAACGCCCACACCTGGTCACCTGGCACATCAACATGTGGCAGCTTGACACAGATGCTGAGCAGCAATCATATACCAAACATAACACCATAAACACTGCAGCAGTATTTTCAGTGATTCCCCAAAAGACAAAATCCATTTCTATCAACAACAAAGACAATGTTTTATTGAACAAATCTATGTACAGTACAAAAAAGTCTCTCAAATGAAACACTACTGTTGATTTATTGCAGTTTGATGGCTCAGTTTTAATTTGTACTCTTATATAAAATGCAAAGTAAAATAATTTAACATTCAACAAGGAAGCACAAATTTCCTTTCTTGCTGAACCTGTAACAGCGTTTACAAATTAAGAGTCCCAAAAATGCATACGTTGCATTTAATCAGAAAGGTGTTATACAGTACCAAATAAATTAAGAAAATAGTAACACTACCACCCCCTTTCAGTCTTTTTGTCCATAGCACTGGTGTTAAAACAGTAAAAGAAACGAGTACAGCTGAACCTTCCAGGTGATATTAAAATCACAAAGTTTAATGTTATAAATTATCCAAACTATACAATTTATAGAGTTTTAATGAATATGGCTAAATAACCAAAGTACCAGTGACCTTTCCCCACAGATATGACCACTTTCAAGCTATTTTCAGGACTTCTGTTTTGTTGTGAAAGGTGCCTATCAAGCGGCAGCTCTTTGAAAATC